TTTGACGTGACTTTACACAAACAATAATACAAACAAAATACAAACAAGGCACAAATGATAGAGAATCAGGAATTAGGCAAAGATCTTCCTTGCAGAATTATTTAATAGTTGCTAATTTCCATCATGTCAGTATAGTCCTTTATGTTAATAAAGAAGCAAAATTGTTCTGCAAAATTAATGTTATGATGCAAAATCATACTGTGCAATTTGATTTATCATCTGCTTTTGAAATTGTTGCTAGGAAATGAAAAAGATTTTTGGCTGCCATATGCCTCTGTATTCTGTAGAAAAGGGAACTGTAATTGGTCTTTCTTTCGGATGGAAAATATCTCTTTTAATATTACACAGATTGAATATTCTATTATCTTGCGACAATTACTTAAGTGATTGTAATTTCTTCAGAAGTGCACTGACTTTGCATCACACATAAATTAATTAACTAAATTAAGGGATTATTTCACAGGCAGACATAAAAGATGGGCAGGAAAATCAATTTCTCTATTATGGTAAATGAGGTATTCGTGTAACCATATTTCAAATTGACAAAGACATCCAAGAGTGATGAAAGGCCGACGAAGGGTGTGACCTCCGGCTGGAGTAGAAGATTATGCCATATTTGACCGATGGTTATGCTTAATAGGAAAAATGGAGTCCTATTAACGTCTGGTGGACAGAAAGTATAAGGGCTGATATAAGGGGATGACCAACGTGGCTGAAGTGGGGGCGTTTTTCCGGTCAAGTTTAAGGATTCAATATGTCGTCAGCATGATTGACGGGTATGATTGTATCAGTTATTGTATGGATTATTCTCTTGACAGGGGCAGATTATTCTTATTGGCACCATAAGAGGTATTGGAAAGTGTTGAAGATGGTAGCTGAATAAACTAATGAATATAGCATTTAGAAATTTCCATTTGTACTGGGATATGAATAGGGGAAAAAGATACTTGGATATGGAAAGGGAAAAAGTTAAATGCAGTATGACTATTATGCAATAAAAAGTTGCATAATAGATTAGCAGACATTATTAACAACTTGATTGTTAACAATTAATTGTGCAAGGTTTCTACGTAGGTTTAATATAACATTATACTTATACTTGAAACATAGAAAAATGACCTTATTAATTACAATTAAGCTAAAAGATTGACAATTGCTTGATTGTGCCACATTTCAGTATAAGACTCCAGCAAAGGATGCTCTTCAAGGATTCTTTTGACATATATACATATATTATATAATACACATTCCTGTAATTTAAACAATGTATGACCAAAGCAGAACAAGCCTTAGTACACGCAATACCCTCACTAGACTATCAGGGATTTAAGTTGCGTTTTAGGGGTGGGCGGATGCAATTTCCGAGGGTAAATGTTAGAAAATATTCTGTCATTAAAAATCCCAAGATAATGTTTTGCAAGATTTCATTTTAAAGGCAACATTTTAGTGAAATTAAAGAGTTTATTAGATAAAAACATGTATATAAAAGCCTCTTTACAAAATATTCAACACTGTTTTCTAAGGAAATATCAAGACATCATCTTTATAACACTTTCAACAGATCTTCTTAAGTTTATTGATTTACATACATCAGTGTATCACATTAAATTCTGTACATCATCTATTTTGTCAGGTCAATTATTTACCAAATGCTTCATGTTCATGTAATATAATGTTAAACCTAAGAGGAAAAAAAAAAATCCGGAGGAAATTATTTTTGTAAAGGACATGGAGTTTTCAATGTCAAGGTCATTTAATGATGAAGGAATTGAAAATATATCACAGCGATGTTACAGATATGATGTTGATTGCTTTAGTGGGGGGTGATTTGTAAAAGCCGGGAGAAAATTAAGACCAAAAATGGCCGTAACTTTCATTGATATCGTAATATTCATTGATATCGCACGGGGAGAATGATTGAGCGCGTAATTAATAAAATATCAGTACAGTACACTTCCATTGAAATAAAAGAGAGGATTACTTAAACATCTAACAAAACGCAGATACAGATATGGCGTACGTATTCTAATCTTCTAGAGCCGTCAGAAAATTCACATCCTAGAATACGGAATGTGCAAAATATATGCAATAAAAGAAATGGATTACTTAGTTTTACTGCGCTTTAATCTATGTAATATGACAGAAGGGGCAATTTGGCAAAGTGGTATGGAGAGGGTATAAAACATACAGGAAAAGACGTAGGGTTTACTTACGCGCCATATATTTGTCTACATAACTCGTTCGGATATTGCTTTATAATCTATCCATAAAATGTAGCATAGATGTGACTTTTCATTTTATGTTGATAATTGCAAATTATAACACAGATTTTTTCATAAAATTTGTAGATTCCGGTATGAAATAAACATGTTTTATTGCGGAATTTTCCCTTGTAGCCAATATTTTTCCTATCATGTAAATTGCTGGTTTTATTGTAAAGTAATTCTGACCAGATTTTATATAGCTGAAAGAGAAATGTCAGATTTCTGGTTTATAGCCGTTTTACAGAGAAAACGTGTAAAAAATGAAATTGGAAATGAGAGAAAAGGCAAAACATAAAAGCGGTTTTCAAACCAATTGCACTTTCCTGAAGGAAATGAGAGAAGACATGATTTAAACAGGCTAGAAATAGTATTAAAATCCCATTTTGCAAAATGAATAGAAGTACATTATGGTATGAAATTAAAAGGTTATTATGCCAACTGTCTGGAAATAAATATCATATCTTGGAATGTCTACATTTAATGTATTATAATTCATAAAAATATAAGACATCATGGAAATGTTCTGTTCAGTCAAAAATAATGCTAACTTCACCACTTTCTACCACTGAAAATTGTATCAAAATTATAAACCACTGGAAAACCAATACCACTGGAATACCAATACCACTGGAATACAACATTACAGGAATACCAATACCACCGGAAAACAAAAGCCACTGGAATACCAATACCACTTGAATACAACATTACTGGAATACCAATACCACTGGAAAACAAAAACCACTGGAATACAACATTACTGGAATACCAATGGAATACCAATACCACTGGAAAACCAATACCACTGTAATACTTGAATGCCACTTGAATACCAATACCACTCAGGTTTTCTGAAAGCGATAATTAGCGTTTGCTACCAGTTATAGGGCTATGCCAGTAAATGAATTGGTTAAAAAAATGAAATGAAATTCAAACTATTTTAGATAAAATGAAAAAAATGTAGATTACTGTTAAAGATAATACAACTCTGGGTTTTTCAAGTGTTATTTAAAATTTAAGGGTGGTGTCATTCAAATTACTTATCAAAGAGCAGGTTTTAATTTATTCATGTCACACCATAATTTCTTGCCTTTTGATTTTTGACATTTATTAAGTATTTTATGATATGGTATGTTCATTGCAAGCTATAGGGAGAATAGGATTATGATGCAGTTTTGAACAAAAAATGCCATAAATCATTTATTTAACCTGCAATTAAGTGATTTGAACAATTTTTACATTGAAAAAAATAAAAAAAACAACAAATCTAATATCAAGGATTTGTAATATTAGGTACTTGCTTTAAGGCTTTTGATAGTTAAAGTAGTTTTTGATTAATACTTGAAATATTAGTAATTGCCGATTGAATCAGTGATTAGTAATTGACCGAGCTGTCAAAGTTTTCTCATGAAAACATCCTGCGGGGTAATATTTATCATAATGATGCATACTGTTGATTATATCGACCTTCAAAATAAAATCTTAATTTATGTTATACTGTAATTTTATATATTTTTTCTGAGAAAAAGTAACTGTTATGAATTTGTCAATTGCTGACAGTCATGGGAAAACATGATGTTTGCAATGGTAGAATCACTGTGTTAGTTTGTTTTTTTATCTAAATGAAGGAATTTGTTGGAACTTTGAAACTGCATGTTGTTGTCAAATTTATTGACCTGGAATTTTAAATTTCATAAATATTAAGTATTTATGAAATTTTAATATTTATGAAATTTAGAATTCCTGATGTCCATTATGATTTTTTTTTTCACTTCTGTAGTTTTATTCTTTTGTTGAGGTCTTATAATACACTTCTCGGCTAAAATATGAAAAAAAATAAATATAAAAAAATGTATAAACAAAGCATTAATGAAGTTCTTTGGAGTACAACATTTCTTTTGAGTACTGTATTAAAAGCTTTTTTAACAAATGGTCAACCAACTGTAGGGGAGTAATCATTACATGGGGAGCTGTTATTATTTCTTCTCTATAATTATTGGCTGGTTTGCACCGAAAAACTTCAAGAAGGTTTTTATGTTTGTCGCATGACAGTTGATAATTATTTTTGTTGAATGACCATGATAGCACTAATTTCATTAGTTTCGATGTATTTCACCTTCATGTGTCACACAGCTAGCAGCAAAATAAAACCTGCGATGTCATGCTGTAAATAGTTAGATATAGTGCCGACATGTTATGTTTATCATGTAGAATTACCATGAAAATTGACTTGATTCAATTATAATCTGGAAGAGATTAGCCTGTGAAATGTTGTAAGTTTAATGTGATTTCCATGCTGTGTGGAATTTTGCCGTTGGCGATTCTTATTTTTATGCATGACTGTCATGAATGTTTAGAAAGGTTGATCAATGTTGATGCATTATTAAGATTTGTCTATGATTTGTATACAAAGCTACCCGATCTTGGCTGAAATATAGAAGAAATTATTGCAGATTTCTATGAAACTTCACTTTCATTAAATTTTCAGCACTACCTTAGAGTACAGTGAGGCTTAGTTACTTGAAATTAAATAGGAATAAAATGACATTAATATTAATCAATGTTTGTATGTCAGAAGGTTGGATATGGCCGAAAGTCATTGACAGAGACATTTATGCTGTCTTAAAAGGCATCAAAGTTTGTTCTTCCCATTGAATAATTATTATTTATTTTATTTACAACCATGGGTCCATTCAAACACCTAAGACTGTATTTTGTATTGTTATATTTTTTCAGCATGTGCCAAGAATTTCTTCAAGTGGCATGCCAGTGATCTTGTGTGTCATAGATGTCCAAACAACAGTTTCACAGACTCGGAGAAGTCTATTGTCTGCACGTGCTACGACAGCTATTTCAGGGCAGAGACTGACAATAAGACCATGCCATGCACTCGTAAGTATCATTGATCGAAATGAGGGCGAAATAATTTGATAATAGTTACATAAAATTAAAAAGAAAGAATTAAAACATAACATAAGGTTTACATGCCCAATCTTCAAACAAAAGTCGATAATTGTTGCTGCTTTAATTATATTACCAGTAATTCTTATGAAATCTGTTGTAAATGTAGCTTTTTGCTCTTTTCTATGTTCTGAATTATCATTCATATAGTATTTAATATTCATGTATGAGAATTTGTGAAATATGATATAGTGTCTTTTTATGCTGAATAATAAGGTCTTCAAAGAATTTGCCTGTCATTAAAAAAAAAAACAAACCCTAGGGCTTAATGTGAAGTGTTTTGGGTTAAGGACAAAGCAATTACCTCCCTTTAATGTTTGGAGATAGGACTGAGCAATTATCTCCCTTTAGTGTCTGCAGGTACATGTGATATTCATTGAACTTGTTAGATTGGTGTGGTTTTATAGTGGTTGAAAGGTTATATTTGACAACATTCTCTGTTTAAACTGTCACCCTTTAGGGTATTCATACAAAATTAAACATAATTTTGTACAATTTTGTGTCAATAATGTAATTGAAATAATTTCTATAAAAATTGATTTATCTTGCTTTTGTAAAGGAGAATTTCTAAAGTTTACACTTTTAACTACAAAAGTAGGATTTAATTGCTGTTGACAATTCATAGCCTGTGCAAATTTTTTTTCCCCTTAAAGTTTTTAAGTACTCTGTGTTAGAAAAAAATATCTTTGAACAGCTATTTTGAATCTGTCAACAGTTACAGGGTTATAGAAATGTGCGCATTTGCATTTCATAAAAAAATCGACATCATTTTTGTACCTGTCAAGCAGTTATAGATCAAATGAATGGAAAGGAAATTTTATAATTATTGTACTCCTAATTTTTGATGTGTGGCAGTTTGATGTTTTAAGCTTGACAACCATTATGTTTAAAATACACCAAGTTGCTCTTGACAAATATATATAAAAAGAACAACAAAAAACACACACACAAAACAAAAATAAAAAAGCTTTGATTTTATTGAAACGCTTTGGAAAAGCTTGAACATGACAGAAAATAAAAAGTAAATTTGAAGTTATAGACAAAAGGTTAAGTATTTTAGTGGGAGTTTGATTGTACAGCAAATGTTTGATGAAATTAATTTTATAGACTTCTTTTGTTTTGTTTTTCGTATTTTGTACTCAATATCAGATGAAATGAAATTGATATGAATGACTTTTACTGAGAAACTTATGTAACTACTTCCTTAAGTTTTAGCCTGCTGGCATCAACAGAGGTTCTACCCATGCAAGGTACCACTCTGTGCAAACCATGATCAGTGCTGCCGCACTAATCTGTGCCATCTTATCATGGTCTGCACTGTATGCTCTTTGATCAGTACTTATTTTGAAAATTTTCCTAAAAACATTTATTGATCGAATCTAGTCCAGATTGACAGAATAGAGTCCATTTTCGATATTTAGTGTGAAAAGGGTTAAAAACATTTAGTATAAAAGTAATTAATATATTTGAATTGCTTTTACATGTAAGAATTGAGATGCCAAACCCCTTAAATTATAGTGATGGAAACAGATTTATATGTCATGTGACGCTGAATAAAGTATTGATAAAAATTATTAAATTAATTGATCATTAAAAATAAGAAAAAAAGAAAGAAGAGAATTTGTTTTAGACTTAAATCGTTCTTATAAAATTGCTTGTTTTGAGACAATTTAAACGAACCTTTCTTTCGGCCAGATAAGAGAAAAATTGCTGACTGAAGGGCTTAGTTTTAACCCAATTAAAGAATTAAATCTATTCCGTGCATGTCGCTTTCACTCTATCAAACTCTTGTCCAAACTTGCATATTGAGAACACTTCTTCATGACATAAATTGTAAAGTTAATTAAAGAAAAAATTGTAAGGTTGCTCTTTGATGTCTTCAAACCTGTCACAAACAAAGAGCTATAAAGGGCACATTCTCTCTCAATCCATTCTAACAGTTGGATATTTTCAATCTATATTGTATCTAGTAAGCTAGAAAATTAAAGGCTTTTCATATGATATAAAATATAAACATCACAGTAATTTTTTTATTGCTTCACAAATTGCAAGACTGATTTTTTCTTCTTTTTTTTGATGTGTGATAATTTATTGCCCAGGGAAGGTAACGTTTAATGGGGTGTCAATGGGGCTAAAAGTGGGCAGGGCTAAAGGCGGATCTGGTAACATGTTTCAGCAGCACAGCTGGGGGTCAGTGTTTTTTTTATGGCAGATAAAAAAAACAAATTTAACATACAATGATTTATGTTTAATAAAATATAAAAAAACAGCTGCTGCACTTAAAAAGTATTTTAGTTCAGTAAGGGAAATATAATTGCAAGTAAATGCCCTGGGATATTCTAGAAGAAAGGCTTTGAAAATAAGTGTACATGAGAAAGACCTGGTTATTTTCTCAAGCATGTAGATTGGCAGTGCTAACTTATTCTAAATCACATAAAACAAAAGCAACAGCAAGTCACCACCCTGCCCCACCCTCGCATAAAGAAAAAGACTACTGTTTTAAATTTTGTGAAATTATTTGTGAATTAAGTTTTTTTTTTCTGTATTAACAACCATTATAAGACTTTAAATGAAATGAAAATGCACATTAAAGTTTAAACTTAAATAACAGTAATATACATAACAGAAGCCGTTACAGTGTTTTTGTGTTAAATGATGACAAAAACGTTAGGATGTTTTTCTGTTGTGTATCGTTATAACGATCATATTATAATGTCACCAGTAATAGAGTATACTCCTAAAGTTATGAGCGCAATTATTCATTCTTTGTAATTTGGCCTCAATTTTTTGTCAACGTTGGTAGCAAGCGTAACGTTTCACTTTAATTATCGCCGAAGTAATTGCTATAAATTGCCGTTCTTTGTAAGACAGTATTATGTGCTTTGACAACGAGAGTAAAATATCAAGATTTTATCAGAAACAAGACGGGTTTCGCTTTTGTTCGGAGCAAGTATAAATCGTCAAATTCACCGATAAAATATTTGACGGAGCATGTTATTTAAATGAAGAATCCATGACTTTTCTAAGGGTGGCCTTGTTTAATCGTACTTTCAGCTGATTTTTTGTTCGGCTTGCTGTAAATGTGGCAAGATTATCTAAAATTGTCGTAAATCAAATATCCCGAATATAATTTTTAGTAGGGATAATGATAATGTATGCAAAGAGAGCGTAAATTTTGTAAATTTACATTCTTTACAAGCCATGAAGTATTTTGGATTCTTTGAGATACGAATCTTTATGTTCGTTTATCCCTTAACCCTAATGTTTATAATATGTTTATTTTCTACAAGACATTCATCTTATAGGCAAGATATACATGATGAAAAATTTGATTTTCGTAAATAAATTATAATAATGTTCCCAATCTCTCAATTTTATCATCATAGTCGTCATGAAAATAATACAGAAAACATTTAAAACAAATTTTTTGCGTTGTATTATGCATTTTTCTTCTATATTCTTCTTGCATTAATTAAGCAGTGTCAAATTTTTATTTGTTGGGAATTTCTTGATTATTTCCAAAAGAAAGTGCCAATTTGTGTGGAAATTTCGTGCAAATTATGTGCATTATTCTGTAATGCAAATATCCTGTGGTAATAAAAATAGGTGTAAATAATGGCAAACTATATAAAAATAGACATCTTATTACCATCAACTAATTTTCTGGGAATTCACAATTATTTTGGTTCCATTACTTATGTAATCTATTTAGGTGAAAAGTACCGTTTTATCACTTCCAGTTGCACTTTTATTGTCGAAAATCAGCAATCAACGCAACATGTAACACTGTTTTCGTCAAAACAAGCATGTAAACCCCACAGTACAATTTGTTTTTACATTATTAAGTATTCTATCTGATCTTTTGTTTTAAAGACAATCTTTATGTTGTTCTAGACAAGGACCTCTGCTCTGGGTAAAAAGTAAGAGAGAGAGAGCTATCCAACTACATGAAGCTTATGAAACGTTGGTGGTTTTACTCCCGTGCCCGTTTAAATGCCTATAATAATGAAAAATAGGGCACCTGAGGTCTTCCAACACAAGTATTTGTTAAAAATTACATCACCATGATTTCCGAATAAAAGTTATTTATAAAAAATTTTCTTAAGGGTTCACTCATTGCAAGGCAAGATACAGTAATTGATGATAGACTTAATTAAAAAACTTCTGTTCCAATATAACATGATATGTATGCATACAAAAGGTCCCCCTGGGATCTTGATTTATTGGAACATAATATTGTTGTTTTTTTTTTCCCAAACAGAATTTGAATATTTTATGAATTTAGTGTAGTTGGTTGGAAGTTAAAGGGGGAAAGTAATTAGACACTTCAACACATTTTATTATTCTTTATTGGCCGAATGATTGAGGTGATTAAACATTTACGGCCATGTTTGCCATCCCTGTTAAGATTAAATACAATTTTTTTTTTTCGTGGTGTCCCAGATGAACCATTCTTACCTTGAAAATTTCAACCATGGAGAAAATAGTGAGAATTAAGAATTCTGCCTGAATAGTCAATTCCAAAATTAACAAGTCAGCTGAAAAATTGTTTTGTTGCCTTTTATAAACAATGTATTTTCTAAAAATGTGTATATTTCATTATTTCTGACATCATCTCCAAGGTGACATCATTATGCATTATAATTTTACAGATTGATTGGCTATTTCAATCTATGATTTTTAGTCAAATTTAAATTTGTAAAGAACAAAAAAAAATGTTAGAAAATAAATTGCAAATGCAATACAAATTGTGGCTTTACCGAAAAACTGCAGTTATATATATGAAATAAAGAAGGATTTAACAACAGTTGTGCGATCAACCCTTGAAAAAATATACGTTGATAAAGAAAAAGTAAAAACATGTCTGATGAATAAGATATACACAATAATAGTTATGATAATTACAATGATTCAATTCTCTGCTGCTAAACTGTTTACAAAAAAATTATTTACAGAAAATAATTATAAAGGCGTAGGTAAACTACAGCCTATTCATGAATAGTGATTATACACTGGTGCATTACAAAATGTCACATTTTAAATTTTGTATGCTTGTATGCAATTAAAAATCTTTTTCATGAAAATGTGCACTTTGGCTTACATACGGCTGGCATATAAATTGGTGTAATTAAGTTATCAAAATGAATTGATGCGTCGTAATGACTTTTATAACTTTATCATCATTCAAATCTTTATTTTTGTTTTGATATTAAAATGATAGAGCATCTTTTACGACCCACGGCCATAATGAACGTCGTCAAATTGTACACATTATTACGGTAAATTGGTCTTCTTTTTTTTTTATCTTCTTTTTTTTTTTAAACTGGCTATGAGCAATATCAAAATTATGCCGCAGTCTTTGCCAATATAATATATTTAAAATAATGAATAATTTAGTAGATAGTGAATCGAAGAAATAGTTCATATACAAATGTAGCATTTAAAAAACAGGAGGTGATATTGTACTTGTTATACGTGGCAGAAAATTGGGTAATAAAATATTTTTTTGTAAATTATATTGCTCTCAATGGGTGCTATTTAAGACTATCATATAATTTTGATCAAGTACAGGGAATATTTTTATTGCGTGTCTTTCATAAATATTGACTATTTTATAGTTTACAGTGAGTTATAATTCAGCAATATGTAATGCCAAACACATTCAAATATGTTTTTTTTTGCCCAGTGCAGTGTTTAAGGTATACTTAAGTTTGCTCATTTACATTTTAATGTTTGAATTTTATTGTGGAAAATTTGTGAAAATCCGCTTCAACCAATGATAATATGTCGCCATTAAGCCACCATGTTTTTTTTTTATGCGGCTCATATCTTGGATTTTAACAAACTTTAATTGTTAAAAAAAACCACCCCTTACAGCAACAACCATATAAAATGACTATTTATCAGCATTAAACTGTGCCCAAACTTTTGACAGATGTTTGGTAAAAGTAGAAAAAAATCGAAAAGTTAAAAATGTGAATTTAGGGCCTGGTTTGAGTTAGATAATGTTTATATTTTCCTAGCCACTTCAAGTGCTTAAACTGCAGTAATGACTTGTCTATAATGTTAGTTAGTGTGTAAGTTTGGTATTTTTACCATGTTGTACAATATTTAAAGTTTTATTATTTTGATAAAGGAATCTCTAACATTATCAATTGAAATCAAGACATGAGTCCATTAGACAAATTCATCAGTTTAAAGGTTAGTCTAACTAATTTAAGACTTGTCAAAGAGACATCAAGATAATTTTGGACATGTGATTTTCGTATGCTTTGACAGTATCAAAAAAAAAAAGTCTGTAAAATGTTTGTGGCAACTGTTAATACGGTATACCCATGTGTCCAGTGCCATGTTCTGTAATCTTTGCTATTCAGCTGCAACAATTTTTTTGAAATTTTTCCCTTACACTTATGAATGGTCTTGTCACATATTAAAATATGGAAAACTCCATTAAATGTATTTAGTATGGTAATGTTTAATATACTTAATTTACAAATAGATATGACTCATTGTTTATTATAGAACCTCCTTCAGCACCGAGGGACATAAAGGTTGTGGTCGCCAAGGATACAATGATTCAGTTGTCGTGGAGACCACCAGCTTATGATGGTGGCCGGTCAGATGTTCGGTACAAGATAGAGTGTGATAACTGTGAGGACAACGTCTTGTACAGTCCAAGACCTTCGGGATTTAACGGGACAAGGTTAGTCACACTTATTCTTATTGCAAGATTGTGGCCTGAGGTAAATGATACTATGAATTTCGATGGGTGCTAAAAATAAGAAATTCATTTATTAAGAAGTGCACTATTACATATTGATATATTACAATGTTAAATACGTGTATAAGGACTTAAAAAGAGGTAGAAGTTAATATTTGGCAGCTTGCATGAATTCTTGCAGTGACTGAGTGTAACTCCTTATAAGGATAAAATCAACTTTCTAAAAACTGTCTGACGAATTCAATTTTAATTTTTCTTTCAAGATGATTATGATGTGTCAAAGCTTAACTTGAGATTTAAGAGAAAAGGAAGGAATTACTTTTTGAAAGGTCATGAAAAAAGTAAAACTTGTGAAATGTTTACTTTATGACAATGGATCTCCTTTCACTTGATGACCACAAAACACTTTCCTTGTTACATCAGCTTTGTTGAGTAATTTTATTTCAGTACTAAAATTCTTCATGATTATTTATGTCGTTTTCGCGAGTCAGTACTGTTAATTTTAAATTGAGAAGTTCTCTTGACTGTTTACTGCATATCCTGATTTAATGAAATATTGAGCTGTTGTGTGGCGATAATACTTTAATGTCGTTCTTTCCAATGCTTTTAAACCGACGTCAGAACCACGAAGAACTCGGCAGCAATCCATGTTATGTGTTTTACCTTTTGAAGTATGCAGGTTTTATGCTAGTCTTATTATGCAGTTAATTGTTAGGTATTCTTTGATGTGCAGATTTGTGTGTTATTTTCACGAGACAATTTGAGTGATGCATCGCACTAAAGATTGAATTGAGTCTCGTGCTTAATGTTTTAAAAAACGGTTGATGTGATTAATACGGTAGTTTCCTGTAGTCGTCTGCCATTACACGAGTGAATAAAATGGTATTAAAATACTGTTTTTTTGTACACAATGTAGCTGACTGCAAAGTTCTACTTCGAAAGTAGATGGCAAAAGTTGTTTCTTGTTTTGAATTTCATTTCATCAATTTCAACAAGAAATGGTCAAGAAACTTCTGACCTGATTACGTGGTCAAAGATAAAAGTCCAAAATTTGAAACAGGGTCTTTAGATATTAGGTATTTCTAAGATAAAAAAGTAAATTTTAGAAATTCATATTTTATTGTCTCCCGTTTTCAGTATTGAGTTAACTAACCTGCGTCCCAGTACAAGATATACACTGAGGATCTACGCAGAAAATGGTGTCAGCTCAATGACTAATATAAAGAGCTTCACTCCATTTGAATTTGTTACCAAAAGATCTATTGCTGAAATTCGCAACATTCGATTGGTTGAATTTGGCGAGACATTCATCACAGTGACTTGGGAAGTATGTACAATTTTTAATAAAGAAAATACATTGTGCTCCATACCACATGCAGCTGTAGTCTTTTTACTAGCTTGATAAATAAGGCTTGTATAAAGGCTTTAAATTTGAAACCAGTCTTACAACTGACTGATTTATTCAAAATTGACCAATAGAATGATTCCATCCTATAACAGATACCCTAATGCTCATTTAGACTTGCATGTTATATATTTGATATTACACCTCTCAGCTCATTAGAACTAGACTTTAGGAAAGGCATTCGATTTGATTGCAATATATGCATTCATTTTTAGCTTGACTTTCCAAAGAATAGGGAGTGCTATTGTGCTCACCCTGGTGTCGGCATTGCAATTGCACTTTGGTTAAGTTTTTGCATGCAAGTTGGTATCTTCAAAACTACTACTGATAAGGTATGGGTGTAGAAACACATCCTGTTTCAATGAAAGTCAAGAGAAGACACACATGTGAAATTCTTACAGTGACCTGTAATAATCTATAATAATGAGAATTACACTTATAGGCATTGCACCACTATAGAATTTCTTGACAATTTGTTTTTATTGCTGCAGGTAAATGTAGATCCTGGACGAACTGTGAAAAGTTATATAGTTCAGCACAGAGTTAAGAATGGTGTATCTGGATTCAAGGAAAACACTACCACTGCTGAAACAATTTCGTTAAAACATCTAGTCAAGAATACAGAGTATGAGATACGGGTATGTGTATTGAATGTTCTACTTCTTGTGCTCCGTCTTTCTCTGTCCCCTCATAGACATATGATTAGAGCTGTCATTGATAGAAATGGTATCAATGTATTGTCAATACTTTTCTGTTTATCAATAATCGATGCACATTTGAAACAATCGATTATTTTTAAAAATTATGAAAACTCACCCAAAAACATATATAAAAGCAGGTGTCCATGTCTTAAACTATGCTGTTGTTACATAATGGACATATTTCATAGTAGCGATAGCTGAGAACATGGTCAGAAAAAAAAATCATGTAAAAGGCATCTATAAACAAAACACATCATTATTTTATGAACAGAACATGTATTTTACTTAAATCATTCAAAGAGGGATATGAATAAAATAATAATGAAAGTGAATTATAGATATGTAATTATAAGTAATTGATATATGGATGTATCGCCATTATTTGTGATCAGGTATCATATGTTGTCACTATGTTTTGTACTGAATCAATGACATCTCTACACATGATTAAAGGTCGGTGACTTTGAAAACCCTTTTCCTCTTGCAATAGTCTAGAGCTGTTGTTTCAACTTCAGATTCTTTTAAGTAAGTAGCCCTCTCAACATAAGATCACATATCTACATAGGGACTCTCCTTTACATGTTGTCATACATAGTTGAATGCCTGAGGTCTTCACTTAGAAATGCTAGAAAAAAAATGAAATTTGACAATGGTAGTGTCGTGTGACTTTAAATACAAACAACCAGGCAATCAAATATTCGAGGATAATAGGTCAGTGGCTGTAATCAGCACTGTTGGGTCTTCATTAGTTAATTACATTTTGAATAAAATAATCATCAATACGTTGTGATATAAAATCTTCAAAAAAAAATGTTTTATAAAGCAAATGATGTTTTCATGTTTGAACAATAATAGAAAATATAATCTCCCAGTGTAAAGAATGTTGTTTTGAATTCTAACAATATTGGTCAACATTATTTAATCATGAAAACTTGCATTTCTCATTGAATTCTCATTTACGAGTGTCGAATCACTGGTGCGTGAACTCTTTTATCCGTACATCAAACACGTCGACCACGTGCGACCAGGCAAAATCCTTTGATCTGTTCTTTTCTGATTTCCCCGTACAGAAATTATTACAGGTTTAAGTATTGATAAACTTTTTTTTTGCAATAGACACGTAAATAGGTGCTACGAGGCGTCAAATTGTTCCCTGAGAAGTTCAACATGTTTAACGGTGATGATGGAATTTCAATATCGCTTAATAGGTCGGGACGTAGTCTGGTGACTTTCTTTGAAAGTCGCACAAGAAGAATTTGTGCATGATTAAATGGTTGATTTATTTATTTCTCACCATACTGCTCTAATTTGAATTTGATAAATTCTGTTGTTAAGCATTAAAATATTAGAAAATTATACTAGACGATGAATATTCTGTTAAATTGAATGAAATGTTGAGATACCAAAAAAAAGTCATAAATTGTCAAAGGGGATAATGTCGTCATGTAAGACAAATACTTTGGAAGAAAAATAAAATGAGTAATTAAAAAAAAAACTGGAGTCAAATAGGGGCGGCACAAACAAGTCCAGCTGTATATTTCGGGAGAGGATGTAGGAGAATGGGTCTCCATGGAGCAATAGAACGAATCATATAGAATAACCATCTGTTAAGGTTATTTGAATTTTTTTGTGGCCGTGTCAGCGAGGGAAATATAGGAGGCAATCTAACTTGATTAAATTTTAGATTAAACAGATTTTTTACAAATTTCCTCTCAATTCGGTGCCTTCTTTCCGTGTAATTACAATTCATAAAGAGGTTTCTTCTGATGCGATAGTTTTTTTTTGCCTGACACTCGGCATGTCATTTTGGATTTGTTATTTTACGCGGATTTGAAAAGTGCCGATTTAAAGAAATTGCTTTAGCTTGAGAAACGTTTTGTCTCGGGATAATTCGTTCTTATTTGTCAGAAATCATTTTAATTAGTGCATTTGTTGTAAGAAATATTTTCGAAATTGATGTATTGTTATGAAGTTGACATAGTTATTACCATCTTAAGTGAAAAGTAATGAGCTTGTGGATGGGATTATTTTTGACACAATAAACAAATTTTTGATACAGAAGTTTAAAGTATTTAACAAGAAAAAATATTAAAAAGAACAGAATCAAGTATTTAATTTTTGAATATTTAATAAAAAGTATTGAATGGAACAGACAACAATGATTGTTTTATTATAAAATATTGCTTTTGATCTTTGAAAGCTCAATTTTCATACATATTTTGAATTACACATATTGATCAAGCTTCAGAAAAGATGAATTGGTCACTTACTGTTTTAAGTTAAGGAACATTCCGTTGAGAATATAAGTTATGATGAGAAACTTGTTACTCATCTAGACCAGACGTATTTCCCTTTTGGCCTTAAATGACCTTATTATTAAATTTGGTTTCATGACTGTTTTAGTACATTTCATGTAAATTCCCAATCCTTTTGGGACTGGATCTTATTTTAGGCATTAATAATTGACAATGAATCTTCGTTTGCATGATGTACATGACTGCTTTTTCTACTGATATTATAATGCATAGCTTCGAAATTCAGATGTAGAGCGGATTTGCATAAAAAAGCAGTTTCGTTTTTCCGCATATTTTCAAAAAAATAGTCATGATAGATTATGAAATAAACCTTCATAGATGTAACCAAGATCTATGGTGAATAATTGATGAACGTAATTTAATATTCGGTCTTCAAGATCCCCGTCGTATGATTGAGACGATAAATTCAATTACGTCGCGTAAAAATGTAGGAAATATGGAAATACACAGAAAATAGAAAATTAGAGACTTTCACATACTCCATTACGAAAAAATGTGATCTCAATAAATTCTTATGATATAACAATAAAAATAAGGTACCGTTGATCAACTGGCCTTATATAGGAGGTTCCTTAATTGATTTGATTAGGGAAAACATTGGCGAGCGGGGAAAATACGGCATATGTTCTTGTACTCGGAGATAGCGGGAAGGAAAAAATATTGCTTCTTTATTAAGACGGTTTTGATTAAATTATTGCGCTAGGAGGGAAACCCTGTAGTTAGAAGCTGATGTGGAAAATATAGAGAAATGTACGTATTAGGGGAAATATACATAAGTGGTTTCATTGATTAAAATGTCCATACGAATTTTAGGCGAAACTATAAGTCTTCTTCAATCAGCATCGAAAGTTTTGATGTATATCTTAATATGCCCTGTTATTTTGTCTCATTTTGAGACATTGTAAATATCTCTGTAGGCTTGCATAGCTGAGTGGTTTAAGTTGATGGCTAAGAGTTCCTTGCCTTTCAAGGCTGCAGGTTTGAGTCCCTAAAAGGACCTCGGGATTCTTTTATGTGAGTAAACTGGATTATGGAAGGCTCTCGAGATCAGTTCATCTCAGGTGTTTGCATATTTTATGCCTCTTTAATATTGCATAAAAGGGCATATTAGAAATTGCTACACCAGAAAAGCTGAGATGATAGTTATATTTTGTGTAAATTTAGAAGAATTGGGTTCATTACAGATAGATTTGTGTAATTTTAGGAGAATTGGGGGCAATTACATGTGTATTTGTGTATATATTTCAGATCAAAGGGCAGACAGAAGAGGGCTGGGGTGAATTTAGTGATATGTTCTCAGCAACAACAAGACTGCCTTATGGTAAATATACAACACTTTGTTATTGTGTTATTTAACGTTGTATAGCATATTGTATAATGAAGTTGATTTTTATAAAATATTAAGAGATTTTATGAGAGATGTAGATGTTATCTATGTCTCTGATGATATGCAGTTAAATGAATTAAACAACCACTTAATGGTAATATTTAATGATTATTTTAAACTAATAATTTGATTATTGTAATGAACATGGCAATTATAATAAAAAGAATATTCATAATTCTGCTAGTTATTTCAGAAAATTATACCATTCATAAGACTTAATACTTTGTAATTCACATCTAAATGTTTTTGTAACTTTTAAATTTAAAATTGGTGAAACGGGTCCAAAAATTTACAAGTTTTTAATATATATAAATTATTGCTTTTATGTTTATTTTATTATTTGTTTTATTTTTCTCCATAATCATCCCTGTTGTATAAATAGTATGTTTATATTATATAATTTTCAAATAATTTCATATTGGATATAATTCTGCTGCAAGGGAGGTAATTTTCAAGTTATTGATAAAGCTACAGAAGTTACCTCCCTTGCTGTAAAAATAGATCATCAAACAATTTTGTTTTTAAATTTGTTTTCTATGCAAATGTTATTATATTCACATCAAATAAATATATGGAGGCATGCATAAGTGTTGCTATATAACAGATTTTCATAAATAAAATATGAATTACATATCCTTGGCATTTTGGTGTTTGGTAATGTTTTTATTTCTCTGCCGTGCTTGTTTTTCATCATAGAAAATGTCACCAGTGTTAATGACAGTAAGTAATGTAGTTTAACTGGTGACTGTTTTATTAACCATCATTTTTTTTCCTATCTTTTATGAGTGAAATGTATTTATTTTATATTCCCACCATTCTAAACCTGACATTATAACATAGAATTTTGAACGGTCACAGTTACATGTATATTCAAATATCACACACATAATGTTACACATGGTGGCTGACTCCTAACCACTTGCCTGTTCCACTGTGGGTTTAAACCCCCCACCAGGGGAGGAAGCTATCCAGCTAGGTTAGGAAAGGACTCAGTTGTTCTTATAACTTTATATCAGTCTGGTACCAGCTCATGCCTGAAATAATGCACACAGGGGAACATGAGGTCTTCGTTCCACCCCTGCTAAAGCTAGAAATTCACCATATAAACTTTTCAAAAGTGTCGGGGTGATGAAAACCCCAACAAATACATACATATTTATAAGAAAATTTTTTTAAAAATGTAATTAAACAGAACTATTTAACTTAAAAAGGTATTAGAGGTGTCTGTTGATGTTATTTCACTTACATGACTTTTAATTGTTTGATTATTACTATCTATAGCTTAGAATGGGTTTTGGATTTATTATCTCCCCTCCAATTTAATTATTCTTCTCATAGTTGAAAATTCTTGCCACTCTCTGCCAATTTCTGATCAGACATTAATCTTACCACAAATTGCCCATTTGGTGTCTGTAACATTAGGGTTATATTACTGCCAACTTTTTCAATAGCTTTAAGCACATTGAGCAGAATGGAAACACATTTTAAACGATCTCCATTGAAGTCTAATGGCACAATGTACATAAAATTAAAAATTTTACAAATATCAAGCGAAGCTCTTAAAATGGAAAAATCTGCAAAGAACTATACTTAGAATTGAAATAATTTTTTTATGGGATAACTAGCCAAATTTGATAGAAAAGGGCTATTTTTCACAAGAAAAATCATTATTCTGGAAAAAAAAACAGGACAAGGGACTGAGCTAAAAATGTGCACACAAGTTATATTGAATAAAACCTAAATCATTTGGTACACAAATTTGGGGGAAAATATTTTCAGCACCATTGTGTTAAACAACTTTAAATGCCAGTAAAAAGGCAACATTTTTTTACAGAGACCGTTGCATTATGGGGCCATTATAATCTTAAACCAGATTTCACCTTCTCTCAAGCAATAATGTAAAAATATTTTGTTATTGATAAAACCTGCATCATAAACAATTTCTTTTATCTAGATGTGTGTCTTTGAAAATAGAATTTACAGTAAATCCATATAGATGTGTAGTAAAATCCTCCTATTTTATAAATTCTCGGAGAAAAGGGACTTTTATTTCATGATAACTGAAATATATTTCTCTAAATGTCAGAGAATCAAACATTGATTATTTTTATTTCATGTGATATATATGACATGTTCTGGGAAACAGACTTTATTTATCTATTGATTTAGAAAACTTAACATCGGAACTACTTTTTTCATAGCTTTGGGACTACTTTTGTTTTAGATTTTAAGCCAAACTAATGAGTACAGTATAGAAATTTGTTTAATATCTTTTAAAGATTAATATCATTTAAGTTGAAACATTAAGCAAACTACAATTTTATAGTTCTTATGTATTATTTCTTGGGGATAGTTTCAAACATTTGTTAATGTCTCTGCAGTTAAAAGAAAAAAAGAAGCAGTAAAGCAAAGAAAAGACAGGGAAATTTAGGATCAACACCAAATGAAATAAAAAAAGACTTTGTTTTGTTATATATCTGAAAGCTGAGACAGTTTTTCTATTCACATCTGAACGCTTTTGAGTGAACTTATTATTTTTAGAATTAAAAGATGAGAATTGTTCTATTTTTAGATCAGAAAAATGAGTTGGAGCCGGGACCGTCCATTGGTATAATAGTTGGAGCAATTGTAGCCGTAATATTGTGTATGGCAATAGCTGCCATCATGATCTTTATACTGCTGAAAAGGTAACAATTCTTCATAACCAACTATACATGTATATTTACATTCTTCATTTAAAAAACAACACAAACATTCTTCATTACCAACAACATTATAAACATTCTTCATAACCAACAACATATAAACATTCTTCATAACAATCAATACATAAACATTCTTCATAACCAACAACACATAAACATTCTTCATAACCAACAACACATAAACATTCTTCATAACCAACAACACATTAACATTCTTCATAACCAACAACAAATAAACATTCTTCATAACCAACAACACATAAACATTCTTCATAACCAACAACACATAAACATTCTTCATAGCAAACAACACATAAACATTCTTCATAACCAACAACACATAAACATTCTTCATAACAAACAACGCATAAACATTCTTTATAACCAACAACACATAAACATTCTTCATAACAAACAATGCATTAACATTCTTCATAACCAACAACACATAAACATTCTTCATAACAAACAATGCATAAACATTTTTCGTAACCAACAACACATTAACATTCTTCATAACCAACAACACATAAACATTCTTCATAACAAACAACACATAAACATTATTCATAACCAACAACATATTAACATTCTTCATAGCCAACAACACATAAACATTCTTCATAACAAACAACACATAAACATTATTCATAACCAACAACATATTAACATTCTTCATAGCCAACAACACATGAACATTCTTCATAACAAACAACACATAAACATTCTTTATAACCAACACATAACATTCTGCATAACTACATAATAAGACATAGAAACACTGACTTCAGTGCATTAGTTCAAATATTAATGCACAAATTCCAATAAACTTTTTCTTTTCTTTATTAAATCAAGGAATACTTCTAAAAGACATTCTTAGGAGGAAGTTTTAATGGACTTAATGGTCCAATTAAGATAGAAAAGCAATATTTCAAATATAAAAACAACCGTTGTATTGTAGAAAGACATATTTCAATTTAAGCTTAGAAGTAAAAGCCATTGTGTTAAACTTTAATTCAAAATGAATTCACCATTACTTTGTTAGATAGAAAAACAACAAAAATCAGTTATTTTAATTTTGAAAGTTATAGTTTTAGGGAAATTATATAAAACATAAAATTGTTTTTATTTCTAGAAACAGGAGAAATGATGGGAAGAGCTCTGATATAGATGGTCCTTATCACCATGGTAAGTCACATGACAGTCACATGATCTATGTTACTATTTATAGCTGTCACATGATGCCCTAAAGATAGCACCAGTATATCATGTGCAATTTTGAGGACGAACAACCACGCATGTTGTCAATTCATTTATAAGCACCATGTAATTACTGTAGAATATTAATGACACTATAAAACAACATTATTTATTCTTTCATCAGCTACACGAGCTAAAGGCTAGATATTCGCTTTATGATACAAAATATTCAGAAAATAAATAACACAAATGCTGAAGAAATTGACATCTCTGCTTTAATAAAATGTGTTTAATTTTTTAACAAGATTCTTAATATTCTGATATATAGGTTTTATAGATTGTGAGGTATATATCTGTTGTTTAACTTTGATTTTGTTGAAGATTAAAGCAAATATTTCAGGGACATAATATTATAATGTGTAATCTATGTTATAACTAAAATGTGTTTAACAATTGTTGAACAATTAATCTGCCTTACATAATTATCATTAATTTGATTTTAATAGATAACCTTTAATAATTATGAAAACAACAACAGTTTTTCTCTAAAATCATAAATGTAGAAGGGTTGTGTATAAGTGTACGATTTCTCGTAGATGCTTTCAATTAAATGGGCAGAGTCATTGCTTTATCCCTGTACACTATTTTAAGTTACATTTTATGTTTTACTATATTTGTTGTTGGTGTCAGAATATTTACAATTAGCGCCATTTTTCAGTTTTTGCTACGTAGTGGTTTACAGCTTTGAAGAGGCTTCATTCTAATTCCCAGTTTTATACCATCCATAACATGGTTAGTTTTTCCCCCCAAAAAAATCATCACTGATATGGGATAGTTTTCCTCAAAAATCTTCCATGGCATGCTAAGGTGTTCTTAAAATCATCCATGGCAAAGTTTGATTTCCAAAAATTCATCCATGGCATAGTTTGATTTTCCCAAATTCATCCATGGCATGATTTTGTTTTTCCCAAATTCATTCTGGACATGAAAGGATAGTCCTAAAGTCATCCATGAGTGACAGAATTGGCTATTTCTAGATTCATTCATGACATACATGTTCATAAAATAAATTATCCATGGTATAAAAGGGCTTCCTCCTAATTATTATCTTCGATCACTTGTATTAGATTTTAGTTCATATAAAATTATCCTCTAAAAATCAACAATGAGTCATTTTAGGGGTTAAAACATCCATGGTTTAAAGTTTAATCATAATAACTTTTATTGAAATGTTATCCATAGCATTACAGAAATTTACAATCCATGGTATTTTAGGTTCTTATTTGGAGTCAGTTTATTGGTCTTTCATTGAATGTTATGAAATGCTTCAAGCAAATTAAAAATCGATCCCATTTAAAAGGAAAGTTTGCCAATTAATTAATTATATCTTCATAGTTTAAACAAATGTAACATTAATGATTACAAAGTTATGATATAATAAAAGTCAGAACCCATGGTTATAAACAATGATTCATTTATTAGTTTATCGTGGGCGTTAATGAAAATTTCATTGGAAATTCAGCTTTTTTCATAGTTTTATAAAAAAACTGATTAATTAATTGATCGTCTAAAATTAAATGGAAATAAGATAACCGGATGAAAGTTACCATGTTTAGATGTAATAAAAGAACTTTAATGCTTGCATCATTTCACATGTTCATACTTTATGCCCATGAATCATGGCAGTTGAGAGGACATTAAGCAAAATTTATCAAGTACATGTTTTATAATAGGTTGGTTGTTTTAGACATGATTTTTTTTTGAAAGGGAGGGGTAATGGCGAAAATGCATTTTCATTTGAGGAAAAACTATCTTAACAAAAAAAAAATTGGGAAAATTTTCAAATTTATGGGTTATAAATACTTAATCGAAATGATCATAATTATATACCATAAAATTTTATGGATTTTAAAGTAGATTATATGATTTGACACTTAAAACATATCTGCGGTTAATTGGGAATTTCATTTACAAATTCTCGTTCACGAGTATTTTGGAATACTATGATATCATCAGGATGCAGTTATCATAATTTATCTTTATTGCTTTTAACTAAGCTATTAAACCTCAGCTCTGAACTTTTAATAAGTTTGAATGTATAATGTACTTCAAATCTCATAGCTTTTTAATCGGCTGTTGGGGAAAAAAGCATACAATAAATGGTCTTTTTGAGTGTCGAAAGTGCTGGTTTTTTAGTACTTTTCAAAGTTATTTAGGAAGTTCTTTTGCCATGCATTTAAGTGTTATGATTATTAAATGCTTGGAAGAAGAAGGCGTTTATTGATGTTAAGCGTTTACACTTATTAATATTTCGGCACAATCTAAGTTAATCATATTTATTTTTGGAACTGTGTTTTGGGTGTACGTGTATATATATATATAAACATGGCTCGTACATTATTTTCTTCATTCAGTTCTGCACTGCCCCCCACTTGAGCCTCATATAAATGGATCCAGTGAGTAACCTTCCTTTTGGGTCACCATAGCAACTTTTGACCTTGAACTTTCACCTTTTGTCATATTTCTAACCAATCAGGCACTTGTATTCATTTTCGCCATATAATCACTGTTTGTTTTTTCTACTTCTATGTCATTAGCATCCTCTTATATTGCCAGTATTAAGTTTTTACGCTTTACAACAGAAAATTTGTCTGTCTTACACAAATTGAATTGTTTTCACCCTTTTGGATGTTATCTCATTTATTGATTGAATATGAATTATTTTAAGAGCATTGTCTACTACAATTAGCTTATTAGTCTACAGTCCAAGCAGCAAGAAAATGTTAAAAAGTTTCCCAGTCTGTGGCTTATGCAACTTTGGGTACTAATGGCAACTAAGTATGGCAGGCTTTTGTCATTGTAATTACAACAACAAACTTATTAGCATATGTAATCAGGCAACACTGTATTGTAATATTACTACAGCAATTTGAAGCTGCTTTATTGTAGTTTTTGATTTTGATGACCCAGACCATTGGAATAGACTTTTAAAAAAATCTATTTTAATATAAATAAAAACATTCTTGTAAATATTGTTCTTTTTGTACAATATTTTATTAAATCGACAGTCTCTAAGGAAGGGAGAATCTAAAATTACCAATAAAGCTGACAGTTTGTAATTGTTATGCTTTATATAACAGTGCCTGTATAGCTGCCTCGTAGACTGTGTTAGACAGTGTTGCCAGTTTTAAAACATGCCATTAGACCCTATTACCATAAACACCGATTGTTAGACTGAGATAGAAAAATATCAATCCAAGTTTTGACATGATGACAGTAAGATATTATGGCCTAAGTGAATTGGTGCCTGTAAACCTGTTAATGCAAGATGTTTTTTCAAAAACTGTGATTAAAAAACAAAACGTGATTAAAAAAAGAAATGAAAAAAAAGGGAAAATACATTATCAAGGTCAAGAGTTCGAGAGTGAGCAGAAAATTATTGTAATCTTTAGTCTAACTGCCTAACTGTGGTGATTAAATGAGTCATATAGTCTCTGGTGTTTCTATAGTAACATTGCTAAGAAGCAGTCTTGAAAGCTTGGTTTTAAATAAGAGAGCATGCAAATGAGAGCATCAGTTTAAAATGGCTTTGTCTACTTAATTGTTTGTACACAGTTACATATAACTTGTAGTCGCCAATTTAAGAAAAGCTTCTAATTTAAGACCACAGTTAGGCAATATCATGATGACCACAGATAGGCAGTATTATTGTAAACAGTTAAGAAGAAATGCATTGGCTTTCTGTTAATAAAGATATTTTGTATCTGAAACAATTTTCAAATGAATTGCTTTTTTAGAAAAAAAACAAACAAAAAACAACAACAAAAAAACAAATTTTTTGTTCACATTTTGAATTGTTTTTGCCAAAGAGTTTTCATTTTCTTAACTGTTTATAAAGTTGTATAGTGTATTCTTGCCAGATGCTTTACTTAAATGCTTTGTAACCATGTACTCCACACCATTGTCATTTGCTTTGCTTTTTCATACATTGTAACACTTTTTCCTCAGTTACTTTCATCTAGGGAAAATGGCTACTTGTATATAATTCACTTTTTACTAACATTTTTAGAATCACTTTTTTCCTTTCTTGACGCATTCCTCTTTTTTTTGTTGAATATTAAAATTATACATCATTGTGGCAATAATAAAATTGTCTAGCTGTACAATTATACATTTGGTTTGAATAACTACATTGAAGAAATACTTAATTTTCGTTATTTTCAAAGTAGTACATGAGTTAAACTACATTTCAGACAAAATATTGCCCTAAAATTGAAAATAAATGAGATTACATTGATCTTGTACAATTTGTTTATTTTATTTGCCAACTTTTTCTAGTTCTTCATAAAAACAACATTTTTGAAGTTTCTTTTTTTCTTTACAAAAAGAAACATCTTTTAGTTCTTAATAAAAAAACCCTTATATTTTAAATCCCCTTCTGCGTAGCCTTGTTACATGTATCTTGTGTGTTTTGAAATAAACAACATTTTTCAGTCATGATTTTATTGCTGTGTTTTTGAATTTTTCTGTCATAACGTTTGGGCATTATTTTGCACCTTTTTATTATTAACATAATTGGTTGAAGAAGTTTTTGTTTTTAATATAATAATACACAATTCCAGTTTTCTGTCCTGAAAACCTTTCCTGATGGATAGATTAGTACTTGTTGTTAAAATTGTATGCCAATTTAATGCAGTAGTTTATGTAGAAATATTATGAAGTTTTAGAAACAATGTATTTAGATATATTTATTGTCTACCTGCAAATATCAGCGTACCAGTATATAAGTTTTTTAAGGTAATAAAAACATTATTTGCCATGATGTCATGTGAAGTATTGTTAATAAAAGTTAAATGGCTGTACAATAATTATGCATATTACATAAAAACAAAATAACAAGTACGCTACATGTAAATATTTAAATGCCATACCGTATTGTTCTTGCCATTATTATACTTTATGATCAATATTTGTATAACACATTTTGTGAAATTGTAAAAATCATTCTGTGAATTTATTGTGAAGATGGCAGTATTTTGTTGGTTAAATAGCTAATCTAACTCAAATATATTCTGTATAAACTAAATGGCTAAAACATTTTTAGCCAATTTATGTATACAAAACAATTTTGGCATAACAGCAAGGCATACAATTTACTTGAATGGATTATTATTTTATTTAGTTTGAACTTTGACCTGTACTCAGTACATCACAGTGACTGGCCTTGGGATCTGAGTCTTACTTTAAATCAGTAAAAATTACCATTTTGGTTCAGGTACATGTTTGATAACTAAAATAAAAGTTATTATTCTCCAAAATATTAGAAATTTGCAGAATGAATATATCTGACGGTACAATTTATTGCATATCCATCAAGTAGCATAATTATGTTTTTATCCAAATTCTGAAGATATCAAACATGTTTTTTTTGTTTTTTTTCGTAATATTATATGAAGTTTTGATTCAAATATTCAAAATGATTGCACATTGTAAATTTACTGTTTTCAGTGACTGTTCCGTTGTTTCAACCGTCTGGTACAATAAAGTCATACGTTGACCCACATACATACGAGGATCCGAACCAGGCTGTGAGGGAATTCACGCGAGAGATTGATGCCAGTCATATAATAATAGAATCTGTGATTGGCGGAGGTATGTATTATTTAAATTTGTTGCTAGTGTATATCTCGTGACCGGCCGTTATGTGCTATTAATATAGGGCCTTAATTTTTTCACCAAAATTTTGGTCACCAAAAAATTGACTCAAAATTTCATTGAAAAAAGAATTTTTTATGAGAAATGAAATGCTTCAAATTTCAGTGAGATATCTATGAAATTTTCACTGAAATTTTACCAAAATTCTATCATTTTGATAAATTCTATGCATTTCGGTGATATTTTACCAAATTTTAGTGAAATTTCAACAAAATGCATAGATTTTGGTGACATTTTCACTTGGGGTTAGCAGCACATCTTGTCTGACTTAATTTACACTTTTGGCTGTTAAGTATGGAAATCACGTAAATTGACTGTTAGTTAGTTTATTATAAGCTTATAAGCAGGCAAATAATAAAAGTGAAAAATCATACAATAGATCCCTCTCTTTATCAGCAAGATTAGTTATAACAACATGAACCTATTTTTTTAGGTGAATTTGGTGATGTATGTAAAGGCAAGCTTCGAGTACCGAACAGACCGGAAATGTCCGTAGCCATCAAAACACTGAAAGCAGGGGCGACAGATAAAAACCGTTTGGACTTTTTAACAGAAGCAAGCATTATGGGACAGTTTGACGACCCAAATGTTATTTTCCTGGAAGGAGTAGTCACTAAAAGTGAGTTTTTGTATGATTTTAGTAGGTTATATGACATAATGTGTTGTCATGCAAAATATGTGGTAATTTTTCAGGCACCAGATGTTTGAAAACAACTATTGACTGATAATTCTTCTTACAAAAAAACAGGGTAGATAAGTGTGTCACTAGAGTAATGGTCCTTGTCATTGTTCAGAGATAGCATTTCTTGTTGATTTTACTGTTTAAAGTTCTTCAATATAAGGAAAAATCCTTTTTCCTTTCTTTAATGCTTTTATTTTCAGGAAGAAACAGAAGTTTTAATGATTTATTGTCATAATTGTAAAGAACCACAAACAATACAATTGATGCCCTATTTACCTTGTAGCCTTTAAGTCTTGGAGAAAACATGCCGTACATTATTTTTTGATATTTTAAAGTTATTATTGTTGAAAGATTGAGCCAGAAATTACATATGCATTTACGACTGCTTTTAAAAGTGACGGCATTTCTATGGGTTTTTCTCCGACTCCCTCCTGTGAAAAACTTCTCTTTTATTACCTTCCAATGTGAAACAGGACATTTGAAACACTGTCAGATGATTGATTAATGACCTTATATGGTGACAATGTCTTCAATTTATGAAAGAAAAATGTAATATTTCTGTACTCTTTCCTGCTGCGAGGAATTAATATAATAAAATTGAGAATATTAAATGGTGCCATTACTGTTGCTTTGTTTCATTAGAAAAATTTTGACGCCAAAGCTTTTATTTGCACAAAAGAGTGTTTTATATCCTACAATGAAGTTAAATATGGAGACACCCTGTGGAATTCAGCTATTGAAATTGTACTTTATAGATTTATGTCAAAATATTAACAGGAACGCTGAGAGGAAACCTTTCGTTATTTAGCAGTAGCTATGGCAACATATCTGTGAAAATTGAAATAGATTTGGTTAAATTTTCGTTAAATGTCGAAGGTTTTTGTAACTTTGGACGGAAATTTGTCAAATTTTATTCGTTCCTCAAATTAGATGACTGCCATTTGTTTCAATTAGTGCAATTTAAGCATGTAGAGTCAGACGTAAAGCAAATTATGTCATTGTTCGACACATAAGGATAATTTACTCGACTGTTTTGGAACACAAATTGTAATGCATTGCTTGTGTTTGTCAGATAATAAATAAATATTTTTCGGTTTACTCTCTCAGTTGATAGATTTATGCTGCATCTTTCATTCCTTGATTGTTTTTATTGTTCTGAATTCTCGACACAAGTGCTCTTTTAAAATTCTTTTGCTTTTTTAAGTCATGTTGAATTTTAGTTTGGCTTAAAACTCATATTTAGTCAATTTATGAAATAACAGTTAAACCCAGTACAAAAATTATTAAATACAAAATAATTTTAATTTGAGTTTAATGATATACATGTATATGATAATTGGATGATATATTTTTCTTTTACTTTTATATTTGCAGCAAGTCCTATAATGATTGTTACAGAGTATATGGCAAATGGTTCTTTAGACAGTTTTCTACGGGTATGATTGATTTATATTTTAGCATATTATTAAAAGTATTAAAGTAAATTTGTGATGAAAACTTGCTGATGATTCTTTCCTTATGGTATATAAATACATGTACTTTGCATTGATATTTCAACCAATGCCTCACTTGTTCAGGTTTGTAACAGAAATACAGTCTGATCATGGTTTGCACTGTTTGCTTTTCAGTCAGTACATATTTTGAAACTTGTACTAAAAACGATGTATGATTTAGTCCAGATAGGAAGAGGGACTTGCCCATTTAAGATATTTAGTGTGGTATTGGGGTTTAAGACAGATTCGAAATAATGTTTTTTCCCCCCAAATTTTACATGTTTTAAGGCACGTATGAGTGAACTAAAACATGAAATAAAACTTAAATAAGTTAAAAGTAAAAATAATATAGGGTTATTTATAAGCTTCTTATTATTTACACAAAAACACTCAAGTTTTTAAGAGTCTTTTCCTGAGTGAAATTTTATAGAACTTTTCATGGGTACCTGTTATGTAAAACCCTATAGAAAATTTTACTACTCTGGCTGCATGTAGAATTGATATAAGTTCATGTTACAAGTGCAATAACCTGTATATGAGGATCATGTAGCCAATCTTTGATCACTTATCAATAATTCAATAGGTTTGCTTTATGGGGATAGGGCTTCTTTAAGCATTATTTATTAATATTTAAGGGCAAGGGATAAAGTAAAGTATTGCTTAGTTACTGGAATAATTGGAGGAATTACAGTATAATTAACCGATTTGATTGTCAGAAATTATATTTGCAATTTTTCTTACTAACAATACAGTAGTTATTAAAAAAAAAATACATGTCGTCTAAGAATGTGAACACGTTATAATAAGATAAAGATATCTAGTTCACCAAAGGTTCGTAGTTTTAAATATTTATTTGGATTGCTACAGACTCTCAGAAAATAAAGCAGCTTAGCTTATTTTACTGTTAACTGGAAATTGTCTGATTGATTCTATAATATCTTACTTTATATGACTAGACACTATTGACCAAGAGGCTTTTCAATGATTGAGTACAATTGTTATTCATTAGCTTATTTCATATAAACCAACGTTTTTTCACTTCATTTTGTATTTATATGCCTATTTACATAGACAATTATTTGTCTTGTAAAAATGTAGCTTTGTTTAATATTATATAGAGCTTTTATATTGACTGGTTTTTAAGATAGCTAAAACAACACTTATTTTAAAATATGAAGAGACTAAATAGAAAACAGTTCAGACCATGGTCAGTCAGTATGGATGTTTCAGCTGATCTTGGTTAGCCCTGCACTTTGCTTGGGTAGATTTAGTGGCTGCCATCAAGAATAGGGTTAATGACCCTTTGATTAGATTAAACATACAATTGTATAATACATGTGTGGTCTTGTGACCTTTGTTTTGCTAAGTCATATATAATTGTTGTTGTCAATATCTTCAAACATTTATCACTGTTCACATAATTTGAAACAACTTGAAACTTATTACTTCATTTTCTTGATTGACATAAATCAATGTTCAACTTTGAGATTATTTATCCAGATTCTTTATCAATTTAAAACCTAGATTCTAAATGTAAATTCTTCAATTTCTGGATAAAGCATCATACGATTTAATACACTTATTTTTACCCTAGAGTCCCACAGAATTAAAACAATTTGAACCAGTTCTCGTATTAATTCTCCCATAATTGATGTACTGTGGAGAACAACAGCCACGTTTCAGTGAAACACATCAATAATCAAAGATCAGGAAGATGATATTTAAAGCCCCTGTTACGTACAAATCATGCGTAAATTGACTTTTATTTGTTACTGTGTTATGATTTACTACCTAATTTCAGTCACTCGAGAGTGGAAGCCATTTTCCGAAATTAAGAAAGCGATTCCCTTAGAAATGGATTGTAACATATTCAGTGATATTATCTCGAGGAATTATGAGTACTTCTGTCAATGTGCCGTTATAAAGTACACCCGAAGGCAATATATAAGAAATCCTTCGGGAGATGAGTATATAAAAAAGATGTCTTGACGGGGAGTAAAGTGGTCTTTGATAAATCATTGAGAATTGCTCCTTAACAAAAAAAAAAGGAAGAATTTCCTAAATCAGCCGTCTAGCCGAAATTCAATGTTGTATCGTCTCTGATTGATCTAATAACCCTCTTTGTTAAAATTATTAGCTGGGGAAATATTTTATCTTAGACATAAACATGCTTTTACTGTTAAGTTGTCACTATATATCAACTGAAAAAATGTTCTGGTACAAGAATAATGTCTGTCATTAGATTTAAGAATCAGTTGTATCGTTAAAAAAAGGAACCTGTTAAAATTTCTGAGAAAGAAGTTTGATGTAGGGTTCATGTCAGTCTTTACACAAGTTTAAGGACATATTCATTCATATACCAAAACAAAAGGCTTTAACTCCTGGAGCCCTAGCGCAATTATTAGAGCCAATAAAGGGACAGTTAAATCCATAGTGTTACTAATATAACCATTATAGGGACTCTCTTTGAGTCATATCATTATTGATATAGCCATTGTAGGTACTTTGTTAGAGCCATATGATTATAAATAGAGCCATTATGTTAAAACTATATGGTTATTAATAAAGCCATGAATGGGATATTGTTATTAATAGAGACATTGTAGGAATTGTAATAAGGGACAAAACTGTTGTATTTTATGATTGACAGTGAGTAGTCAGAATATCGGAACTTTACAGTTTTGTTACTATATTTATTTTTGTGTATGATTTCAGAAAAATGACGGCCAGTTAACAGTGATACAGTTGGTTGGAATGATGCGTGGTATAGCTTCTGGTATGAGATACCTTTCTGAAATGGGATATGTTCATAGGGTAAGAAATCAAAGATTTATCAATTAAATGGTTAATCCTGTAGAAAGTTTTAGGAAGAGCGAATAATAACCAGACTATCCTACTAATTATAGAATCAGGCTAGCCTGCATATATCTGTTTGATATCCAGCCTGTATGATCATGCAGTGACACACACACTAGCTGGTGCTAGCTAGCGAGGGTAGCTTGCAATTACAACTTCTATCCGTGAACAGGCTCAATCAAACCGAGTTCACAATTTGCCATGTTGAGCTTTCTTTACGGATTCTGTTTTTCGCTATCTTATCTTGTTGGTGATCTAATTTTATTATGTTGATATTTAAATATATAAAACCCTAAAAAGAACAATTTAGACTTCAAAGCTGATGAAAAGAACATATTGATATATAAATTTCATTTTCTGCCATGCATGCCTAGTTACTGTACTTTGTAATAGTGACAAAAACCCCAAGTAAATATGATACTGCTCATCTGTATAAATGGTCAGATCATGATGAATGACCACCGGTCATCTGTCACATTTTAATTGAAAAGCCATTAAAGTACTGGTGATTTAGCCATATCATTGAAAACAAAGTTGTCATGGATAAACATGGCCAGGTGAAACATAATCTGTCAAATTAATTGGCAGTTATAAGGTACATCATCTACCTGCCCTAATTGAATGATAACTACATTTAACATGAAAATTAAACCTCTAAATTTTGCCAAGTACAAAGTTTAAAATTACCAAGGTGACAGTTGAAGCTGTTAAATTGCCTGAAAATTGTGTTACAACATCATTTGATTAATGAATTAAGTTTTGTCCTCATTTATCCAGCAGATTAAGTTTCTCCTCCTACGCCTGTGACATGTTGTAGGTTTTGCTTGATATTTCTAGAGGAGGAAAATAATTATCCAAATTAATCTCTTTCAATAACGATAATTGTCATGTTTGCGATAATATTGGAGTTGAGGAAGACAATCATTTCATATAATTATACAGAAAAATCTAATGACCATATTGTAATATTAAATTGAAAGAATTATATTTCTATTAGTTAACAGAATTTTTGTTGTTGTGAAAAGCTTTTGGATTTTGAAACAATTTGAATAGATAAGAGTAAGAAATAAAAGAATGCAGCAATTTAATTGATATTTTGGTTAGGGAATATATTTTCCATGAGAGGCAATAAAAAGTGACAGGAATTTCCCTAACTGTGATAAATGGCCCACAAATGGTATATATTGTATTTTATGTACGTAACTATATGTCATACTGTCAGAATTTGTCTGGCAAAGGTATTATCTGTAGAAATAAACATTTTTATTAAGGCTGAACAACCTTTCCTGGTGAACTAGACTTCTCGTTTTCTTTTAAAATGATGAAATATTTGGTATAGAAAATATAAATCGAGGCAAGACATATAATAACTTAGTTTGGTACTGACAAAATATATGGTACTGACAAAATGTAGGATTGTGTTATCAATACTTGGGAACATACAATTTCAAAGACTTGGCTTTAATTGACATACTGACATAAAACAAGCGGTAGGCCATTACATAGGGAAAGTCCTATCCAAAAAGAAAATGCACAAAAAATGAAATAAAACACAAATATTCTGGCCTATTATCCTTTAAAGAAATGTTTTATATGCCATACACATAGTCACTTTTCGAGAACTGAATACAAAACAGTTGTAAGTTCTTCCTTATTTCATAAAAATTACTGCTGTTTTGAGGTTAACCCACGAAATATCTTTCTTACTTAAAATGCATTAATTTTAAAAGTACAAGCGTATAGTCTAAATAAATATGGATTTAAAAGGTATATCAAAACTTGATGATAACATTTTCTGTTCACAGGATTTGGCTGCTCGTAATATTTTATGTAATGAGAGTTTGGTGTGTAAAGTGGCAGATTTTGGCCTATCCAGAGAAGTTGATATAGACACTACAGATGGTGCATATACAACAAAGGTAATGTGAAATATTCATGTGATCAGTATATAGTCAACAAAGTCATTCCTTATTAGTCTAAAACTAAGGATTAGTGATTTAAATACTCATCTATTTCAAGCACTTAAGAAATGAAATGTAATATGATGTCTTTATTTTCGACGGGACAGTTAGATAAACATATTCAATATATTTTTAGTGAAGGTAATCCTCTACATAGGGATGATAAACATGTTGTCAGCTTAGTGCCGTAACGAGTTAAGTCCTTCTAAATTTAATAGGAGTTAACCAGTTATTGCACTAAGGTGATGATTTATTTTCAAAATTTTAATTTATCCTTTGTATGATAATGATGATAGTAACGGGAATATTTTATGTCACCTAAATATAGCCAAGCCAGCTGTCGCAGTCTGGTGCTCTCTTATGATATGCAATACGGTTCCTTAAGTTAGACATTTTGTCATAAAAATCCTTAGCATTGGTTTATCAACAACATAAATTTATTTTATGTGTTCAAGATAATGTGGTATGGTTATAGTTTATTTTTATAATAAACCAGATAATATTTCATTGTATCTTTTAAAATCCAACTTGTTTTCAGGGAGGAAAGATTCCAGTCCGTTGGACAGCCCCAGAAGCAATAACATTCCGAAAGTTCACATCAGCATCTGATGTTTGGTCATTTGGTGTGGTCATGTGGGAGGTGATATCATATGGCGAGAGACCATACTGGAACTGGTCTAACCAAGATGTGATAAAAGCAGTAGAAAAGGGTTATAGACTACCTCCTCCAATGGTAATGTTTGTTTTACTGTGAAAAACTTTTGATAATATAATGGGCCGCACCTTGACAAAACCAAAATAATGGGTTTGCGACCAGCATGGATCCAACCCAGCCTGCGCATCCACACAGTCTGATCAGGATCCATGCTGTTCTCTACTTGTGATAGGATTTGTAAGCGAACAGCATGGATCCTGATCAGATTGCAAACCCATTATGTTGGTTTTGTGATGGTGCGACTCAAAAGTGTTTATAAACATTTGCGTATGTGTATGTAGTCCATGAAGCATGCTTTACTTGTACAACACTTAATATCTTAAATTGCTTTGTCCAATATTGATTTTTCTATCTTTCTATCTCGACAAAATTATTCATAATTTTGTAAGGAAAATTTCAAAATAGGGACAGAATATTGAACAGTTCAGATCATGATCAGACGGCATGGCTTTTCTTGATCCAACTGGTTGCAAGGGTAAAATCTGTTGCTGCCAACAGGCAAAGAGTTCCTTTTCAAAGTAATATGAAAGTCTATAATTGTAAAAGTAAACTCAAGGTTTAGATTCACTGATCTTTCTGATGTAAGTTATTGTAGAAAATTTTATCTTTTTTTCTTTTCCAATGTAATTGAAATGTATATAAAGTTAAGGTTTTTTATGAAACTTCAGTAACATGGAGGATGTTTCCCGATGTAATAAATTTTGATTTCATATTTGTCTGGGTTTTTTTGCAGGAATGTCCAGAAGCAATACACCAGCTTATGTTAGATTCCTGGCAAAAGGAAAGAAATAACCGGCCAAAGTTTACACAGATTGTAAAAAATCTTGATAAACTTATCCGGGCTCCAGAACTTCTACGAAAGATGGCCAAACCAAGGTAATTATCTTGTTTCTTCAAAACTTAAATGGTAACTGATTGCTATGGTTCATTCATGTTTTAAGATTGTTATGATGAGTCAAATTAACGTTTCAGTCAAGTTTTTCAGATGTTTGCTTGTTTTACATATAAGAAATACTTAAATTATTATATAAGAATAATTTTATAAATTGCTTTAAAAAGTCTGCTGCTTTTGATACTTTTAGTATGATAATACTATTTTGTAGAATCGGAATTAAAAACTTGTTATTTTGGATCAATATTTTATGATAAGGTTTATGAAGTATAGGTAGATATTTACAATGTCAAACTTTTAACAGTAGCAAAAAAAATGGTTTCATGTTTCTGCTAATGCCATTCTAAGTGCTGGTGACAGAAAAAAAGAAATTTTAATGGTAAACCAATGAATAGCAGTTTGAAGGCAGTAATTTGTAAATGTGCAGGAATCAATTTAAATAAAAAGGCAAAATGTTCCTTTTGTAAAAGCAATTAGTTTTAGCATGAATGGAGTAAGTTGCAATAACAAACCTGTAAATATTCCAATATAAAGTTAAAATCTGCAATTGGGGACAATAACTTTCATGTGAAGGCAGTAAATGATGCTTAAAATGTAAAAACTAACAAGTTGGAAGCAATAACTTGAAGTATTGCAGTCTTTCCAGTTACATTTGGAATTTTTTGATAGTATTTTGTCAACACTTTTATATTAGGTTTAATATTTTATTTTCATTTAATATTTTATTTGCAAGTGAGAAATTTTGGGAATATGTGAATTGGAATTTAAACTGATCATTAATTAGATTATGTTTTTACATTGAGACGTAAAGGCAATTTATTTTCAGCAACGAGTATATATTTTTATAAATGCAGTCATGAAAGTTATCAACAGCTTCCAGACTACCTAACAGTGTTACTTTGATGTTTATTTTGGTATATTAATGCACACTATGCTGTGATGTTTGAAAATGTAAAATGGGAAAGTACAGTTGTTATGGTTATTGTAGGAAAAAGGACTGAAAATTCAAATTTTTTAGACATTTACATTGCAATGTTACATAGTAATTATGATACATATTTGAAGTGATCTTGATATAAATAAAAACCTGTTAGATAGATCGTCTGCCAAGGTATGACCAAAAACATGTGTTAAAATCGTCAGAAAAAAAACAAACAAACAAATAAACAGTTACTTCTATAGAAAGAAGAATTTTTCTCTCAAGTTAAAGTTTAAGAAAGGGAGACAATTTGATTATTTTGTGTGATGTTATTGAAGTGCTCCTTTTATATTGTTGCACAGTTTCAGATTCATTGGTTTTACAGTTGCACTTCTAAAAGCACTTGTATTTTAGAATGAATATTTGGCTTCATTTAGAACTTAATCTCATTTGGTATTTTCTATGAATTTCTCGGATACTTAGGTGTATGTTTGGGCAATCCTCATGGTTTTCTATCATGGTAATTTTTCTGTTTTTCATACTATTGCTCTGATTTATACAGTGTAACTGGCAAATATTGTTTGTGAAAGACAGTCAAGCATGGTTGTAGTATCAAAGAAAGTCAGATTCTTAAACTTGGCTCCTGGAGGCTTTTCTACAGTCATTATGCATAATCTAGTTTGTTATACTCTTTGATATTAGTAGGTCTCAAGAGCTGAGGGGGGGGGGTTAGTAATATAATAATGATCAATAGTTAATAAGTAGATATCAAGAGCTGAGGGTGAAGATTAGTAAACCTGCCTATAATAATGATTGATAAAACTATGTTGTGGCTTCAGTAGTCTTCTTTATTATGTGCACACAGAAACTCAGGTCCCTGCTGCAGTGACTAGGTCATGTTTTGATATAACATTTATGCATCTCAATGTAAATGTAAATAATCAGTTATGACTATTTTCATGAAATTTTGAATCAAGGCTCAATAGTGCCTTTATTTTAGGTTGTAAAAACTGTATTTTAAGTTTGTTTTTAAATTTCTTTTTCAGGCCACATGTATTTATTGACAATACACCACCAGATGTAAACAGCTATTCTTCCGTTGAAGAGTGGTTGAATGCAATCAAGATGGAACGCTATAGGGACAACTTTTTATCTGCGGGTGTTACCAACATGGACCAGGTGATGCGTCTAACTGTTAAAGACTTGGACACGCTAGGTGTCACCTTACTTGGACATCAGAAAAAAATGATGAATAGTGTTCAAACGCTCAGAGCTCAATTACTCGGACCTCAGGTTCATTTACCCCATATGCAAATGTCTGAGGGTTTCCTTGTATAGCAGAAGATGACGTTCATTAAATAGTTCAAGAACCGTGTTCATTACAGCGACGCAAAACTTATAAATACAAAACTATTAACGACTTGAATGACATGGACCCACATGATTCAGTTGTTCAAATACGTGTCCTTGAACTTAGTGAAATACTTATTGTGATAATTCTACAGCACAAAATGACATGTTCGTACATTTCCAAATGATTTAGATGTACATTTGATCCATACACCAAGCCTTTCATCCAGTCATATATATATATAGATGTCATTGTGAACAGTTTTTATATGTGCAAGCGTAAATCAAATCCTAATTGTGTATTTAAGAGATGTTTTCACTACATTGTTTAGGATTTTTATATGTTTCGTCTAACTAGTGCTTTTGTCATAATCTCAGTGCTTTTACTCACCATTTCATTCATTCCTTTTGATTGAATGGTTTTAATTCAAACAGAAGATTTGATTGGACTATTTTACCAAAGGAGTTAAAGAAGAAGCGATTTGATTGGTCTGTTATAATACAGCAATGTCTGGATAAACAATTTTGATTGGACAGGTGTAACATTAGAGATGTATGAAACGAAGTTTGATTGGATATCATGGACTCCTAAATTTGATTAAAAGTTTGCATAATCATTATGATCATAGAAATCTCATAAATATTCATGACATCCAGATTATACAACTTTGACATGTACTGTGTACAGGCCACATGTCCATAACATGTGACAGTGACAAAGTCATGTAACTTTGTTCTATAAATAGACTTTGTTGCAGACGCAACATTAAAATTGTGATGCAGAAGAAGAAAAACATTCATTTATTGTGTATAGTTGTGTTTTAGACCAGTGAAACTGGTCAAGATTGCATATTAGTTTGTAAGTTGTGATTTTGTTAACTTGTTTTTGTAATTTTATCTATGAAAGTAATCCATTTGTAATTCACTTAAATTAAAGTGTCACTTTTATGAACTATTTAAAAGAATAAAAGTATTTCTTTAATATTCATGGTTTAAAAGAAGAACTTTTCTTTTTAATTTGGTACCATTTACATGTTTAGATTAAATTTTGAATTTTTTTTTTGTGTGGAGAACTCGTTGGTTGAAGTACTGCATTGAAGCCTTTTATTCTATAAATGATTTTATATTATTTAAAAAAGTAATCCTTTTAGAAAAATTTAAGTTTTTTATGTAAGACTATCACTTTTTAAGGAATCTAAGGAAAAGCAAAAACACTTTTCTCCAGTTTATTTTCAGATTTGTTGATTCATTTGTAAAACTTTAGATGGCCAAGGGTTTGCTTGTTTAATTTAGAGTTTATTTTCCATTCCAGAGTTTCACTGATCTGTTCGTTGTATAAAGTATATATATATATATATGTTGATTGATTATATTGTAATAAAAAGCCAGTATATAATTGTTTGATGCTTGATCCATTAAATGTTGAAACGGAACATACACAGCCTTTGCAGCCAGTATAGAGCCATATCAACGTTCACATCCGTAAAGTTTTTACCGGCCCTCTATTGTTGGCTGACTGACTTCAAATGTTTCATTTTGATATGCTAACCATTGATAATGGACAATTTTAAAAATAGTTGCTAGACAAGTCCATTTTAGAATTCTAGCACTATAAGGCTGTATAATTTTAGTACAATACAAAGTTAAAAGGTTCGTGTTATAAATAAGTTTTGAAATTGTAAATCCCTATTAAACAATTACAAAGGAAAAAAGTGATTTTTGTGCAGTAATTATTTAAATAATTCATTGACCTTTTTGGTGACGTTTTTTGAGTTCTTTTTGAATTTTTTTAATTATTTTATATGTAACTGCTGATTTTTGATAACTGATTCTTCCAACATTGTTTCAACATGAATGTTTAAAATAATGTGAAATATAGAAGTTCTAGTGGATGAACATTGTAAAGAACATGAACATTTTATCTCGTCTAGAAAATACTTACAAATATAGAATATATGTATATATCTTAAATTAATTACGGGAATATTCTCGCGTTAAGAACAATAAAAAATTGAAGAGGTAAACTACATACTAAAATTCTTTAAGTTGAATTATTTGAATGATGATTCATTATCTACAGAGTATGGCGCTTAAATTATTATTAACAAATTCAGAGGTAAATAATGAAAAACTATAATTTCTTATTTGACAAGCATTCATTGAAGCATTTGTTATTTTAGTTTTGGAAGTTTATTATTTTCAGAGTGGTTTAATCACACTCTAAGCTCAACTCAAATAGGGTGTTATAACTTGAAAATAAACATTTTTAAGTTCATATAATTGGCCAAGGCTTACTTTTTTTAAAGACTACTAAAATTTGAAAAATATTCGTATACAGTTTGATAAAAATGCCTTTGTTTTTTTCTATGACTTTGGTCTTGAAATTAAAACAGTGTCCGCAAAAGCATCAAAGCTCTTGTCATACAATGTACACTGATAGTATCAGTATATATTTCTTTATACAATGAAGTTTCTGTAAATATTTCTGTTATACCCATAGTGTAAGTTCAATTATATCAAGGTTTAAAAATTGTTGAAAATACTCGCCTACAAAGTGTGATTAAACAACTTCAGAAAAAAATAAACTGCCTAACTAAATGATGCAAAATATAATGGGAAAACAGGGTCTTATAAAATTATACCACCGAAATACACGTTTTTTTTAAATTGGTTTTTATATTTTTAATATGTTTTTTTTTTATTTTTTATCACAGGTAAACTCCAAAAAGAACGAGATTTACGTATACTTTAGATCATAGACTTTTCTATGCATTCTGTTCACATTTACAAGACTTTAGTACTATTCGTTTATTTGTTTGTTTCTAAATTATCTATTGAATTATGTTGAGATTTGTTTGATTGTGTGCTACAGTAGAATCATTTGATCTAACAAAGATAATGAATAAATTTTCTTCATTTCTTCAACAAAAAGAATATGCAATTATTAGTTTAGAAAAACAAAATACAAAATATTAAATTATGTACTGGAGAGCACCCTTAGCTAATTATGGCATGTTTCCTAAGATAATAATTCTATTTTGTAAAAAGACTACTACGCTATCAGTAAAAGAAAAGAGCAACAAAAAAGAATGTACAGTTTATTGCATAATAATTTAAACTAAAATGCTGTGTTACTTTAGTTACCAGTTTATTTAGTCGCCAAATTGTATATTTTTTTACCCATAATTATGATCCAGAGATTCTTTTCTGTAGCATACAATCATCACTTGTTTTTGTTTCTATCCCTCCATTTCTTTTGTTTATAATGATATCAGTTGTCCCCCTTTCTTCTTTATGTTCTTAGAAGTTTATGTATTAATTTACCATAATTTGTGCAACAAATACATGTGAATAAATAAATGTAAATAGTTTGTATATTCATATTTTGAGTAATATTGATGAATAAATGTTTTAGAAAGATTTGCAGGTCGTTGGTATGACAAGTTTATTGTTTATCATCTATTGCTATAATGTACTCAATGTTCCAACCCCTTTTAATTAGTCTTATAGTATAGGTACATAGGTTTTATGTTAACCCTGTCTGCTTCAAAATGAATATTTTTGAAATCCCATGTAGTTATGAAAAATTGTTGGATTTTGTTTTATTATCATTCTTTATCCGGTATATATAGGCCCATACAGACGGGGAATTTTAATAGGACAGTATCATATTAGGAATCTATTAATTAAGCTAGCTTATGGAAAGTTCTACCTGCTCCTTCCAAAATAATGTATAGGGATACGTCATGGGACGCTTGTGGTCGTCCTCCACCATTAACGCTAGAAACTCGCCATAAACCAAACTACTTAGTATTCTGTTATCATTTTCTTAGTATATTCAATGACTATCTTATTCACAAAGAAAAATTAATCAGGGTGTGAACATATATATTTTGACAAATACTATTCATAACCTTTCAAATATACAGAAGAAATAGACATTTTATATCCATGAAGTCGATCCTTGCTGGTATGCAAGTGAAAACACATCTTAATTTTATCAATGAAAAAAATTCATTTACCCATGCCATTATACTGGAAAAACTTCTTTCTATAAGAAATTTTAATTAAGGTGGTTAGAATATTTCATTGTCTCCAAACATAATTTTGTATATCATAAAATTCCAAATTCTATTGTTGTTCATCATAATTCTTACATTACATTTTATACATTTTGTTAATCTTGTACACTCAAAAAAGTATGATTAAATTTGTAACATTGTTAGTCTTGTACAACTCCATTATTTTTAATACTTATAATTTCCTATCTTAACATTCATGAATATATTTTACTGATTTGTTTTGCAATAACAGAAATAAGCAAATATACCTCTTTGCAGCTGATTATATTTTATATTATAATGTCATCAGCACATCTATAATTGCAATACAATTTACATTTTTCCAAGGACTTTTCGAGTTTTAAGTCAAGAAAGAATAATATTTTATTGGTCGTTTTTCTTTTTAAATTTTTTTTTCAACTTGTAATTTTCAAGTTGCAATTCATAGGAGGTGAATACGGGATCATTTAGTTTGCCTCTGCCTATCTACTTAATTTCATATATTGTCTGACAAATATTAAAGTAGTAATAATACCTTTATAAAAGAGCAGAATGATGCACGGAAATTAAAGGGGGCGGGGATATGATTTTTACGAGATAGAATCCTGTATTTTGTATATTATTGATATTTAGTGAAATAAGTAAAGTTATTTGTACCATTGTTGAGACTGACTGACTGACTGGATGCCAGATTCTATATCAACGGTTTTATAGGGATTTTGTTGAGACATTTCTTAAGATGAATAAAATATTGAAATATATTACACTGCGTTTGTATTTTATAATTAGAAATAAATATGAGCGGTAACTCTAAAAGAGAAGTAATATTAAGAGACGGTTAAATTTAACCAATTTGGTTTGTTAACTTTTTGGTTATCTTGATTTATACAAGTGACTAACCAGATTGGTAAGTTAACCAAGGTTGGTTAAATTTAACCCAGGGTAAATTTAACCAACCATTAATGATACAATTGGGTGTACGTCCAACCGTAGACTGAAAGAACAGTGGGGGTAGATGTTGGGGCATCAGTGTCCATCTGTGTCCTATGGACACATTTCTAAACTGAACCGTTTCAATGACCATTTCAATATTTGAGGAGCAAGTTTCACAATATACTGATAAAGAATCAGTCTCTTTACATTGTATTGTTATCATTATCGCCTAATATCAGTAAGGCTGATTTTTTCTGCGCTTGGTGCCACCAAACTAGAAAAAAAGATCACTTTAATCACCACAAACATGCATGAACAGCAATAATGTCTTGCTTAACAATCTTCAAGGATTGAAAATGTAACATCATTGATTATTTGTACGGGAGTGTTAACTGCAATCTACTGGTAACTGCAATCTACCGACATAGGCAGATAACAACATTTAAACATGAGAATCGGTGAAATCTTCCGCAAATGTGTTCATACGGCGGTTATTATAGAAACTTGATTGCGATACGTCGTGCCATTCCATGAAAAAGCGCCTCCCTGGAACAAGCCGAATTCAAAGTAACTCTGTTAAGAGTGCACCAAACCTTTATATTTTTAAACCGTAATGTTTATAGATATGCAGCGCATTCAAAGAATGCAGAGACAGAGGAGGAACAAGAAAAACAAAGGTTCAATATAAAGAAAGCAAACTATTAGAAATGAAACATTAGTTCGTATAACAGACCTTTATGATAGTCTACCCTTGCAAAAATAATTAATACTACTAATATTAAAAACTATTATTTTAAAGGGGATCAGAGGTTATGGAGCCTGCACATCACAGACAAGATGTCATAAGACAAATATAAATAGCAAACACCGTATTCGAAGGGTGAAGTAGGAAAAGTGGAACCACCGAAGTTGATAAGGGACAATTATAAGGAACTAAAATTACCACAAACATCTTCACACAGCAATGAAGTCGTGCAGAACAATCTTCAAGGACAAAAAATATATGTTTGATCAGGTGGACTTTTTACCCTAAAGAACGCCTAAAATGGCAAAATTGAAAATGTTGCAATCTCGGTTTGATTGCGCCTGTTTATGGAAGGTACTGGGAAGTGCAGGTTACCGTCCACACCCCTAGCATCGGCTTAAGCAGAATTCAACATTTTCACATGAAAATGGTGAAATTTTGAATTGAGACACCTCCGCAGATGTGTTCATACGGCGGGTATCTTGAAACCTTCAATATGGCACGTTAGTGCCAGTCCCTGAAAAGCGACTTATGGTTGCCGAAAAGAATGTGTGGGACTAAATAAAATAGAATTTTGAAAGGGGATAAGAGGTTATGTTTCCTGCATATCACAGACAAGATGTCCAAGGACAAATATAAGGACAACAAGTATAAGGACAAAGGGCCATATCCTAAGTGTTATTTTACAGTATTTAAGTAGGAATAGTTGCAAAGGGTAAGATAGGAAGAATTAAAAATTCCACAAGCATGTACACACACCAATAATTAAAATGCAATTGGACATACAGTGATGGGCTCGTAAAACTTAACAATACTTAAAAGGTATATATTTGAAGAGCCGACTGAAAGATGTTGAAATATTTGGTAGACTTGAAAGACATTGAATCAGTTTGAATTTATACGTTTATTAGGGAATATTGTACAAATATTAAAATATTAGAAATTCATACTCAATTTAGATGATATTTATTTACTGCAACAAAATTTAAGAAGTATCAAGACAAACGAAACCCGCACTTGAGTTCAACACATTAAGGTTGCATGGATAATATTAATTTCAGAATGGTTCAGATCGCTATTAATTAACACAAGTTAAATAATTGAGCGCATTGTGTTGCAGTACTATAGCGTTTGATTGATGTATGATATCCTGTCATGCTTTGTAGAAGTTTAGTAGGTTCATAAAAAAACACGTTCTCAGCCCGTCTTTGATAAGGCATCAATAATTCACAGGGTTTGTTTTCACGAGAATACTAAAAGCTTCAAGGCCGTTCTGATGTTAATTGCAAATTTATTTGTAATGGTGAATTGCTTTTAGTTTTTTTCTCATTTCCCTGTAATTGTGTTTATTTATTCAACAGATGCAATTCTATTCACAGTAAGCAGATGGACATTAAGTTGTTGGGTGGCCTTTGTTTTGTTTTACGTCATCGTTTGAATTGTTTTATTCACCTTTGAAGCTGTACTGAAATCATGTTTTGATTATACAAAAAGGAATTATATTATGTGACAATTGATAAAATAGTAACACATAATGTTGATACTTTTTTATAATTATTGAAAAGCATGATTGTTGTTATTTTGCCAAGTTTTTTTATACATTAAAGCGCTGTTAAAGTGTATATAACTATATATCCGATTCAAATATTATTGCTGTAATTTTGAAAAAAATACCAAAACACCTATATGAAAGGAATATGTTAGTTTTCTTAAAAAACGAATGGCTCATGCAGTTAATTATAGCTAAACGTTATAAAACATTCTTAGTATCCCAGTTCGTCAAAAATTTGATGGTCTAATGCGATAAACATGATGCTCGTTAAGAAAAATATTACTTACAAAATATGATCGAATTTACAGTTCATGTAAGTAAAGGGAAGTAATAAGAAACATATTTCTGATAACGCCTTGTTGTAAGCAAGTGTGTATTGTTTTTAAAACTTATTTATAATGTTTATAAAACAGTTTTGTATGGATATATAAAGTTATTTAACGTTTAAAGGCCAATTATGCTCCAGAAGTATTTTTGTCTTTATTTCTCAAAGGCTTTTCATTTTTGGTTTACTTTTAAAGCTTCCAAAATGTTACTCATTGATCATTTAACTGAATCATATATTGCTTCTGTTGCTTTCTGTAAGTAAAGTTGTAGTGGTTAAGTATTTTGTATGGAAGTCTATATACTACTTTGTTTACATTTTGCTAGTTTTATGACCAACTATTTCACATTTAGTGCTTCTATCTTCAGATAACACACATCTAACACTCTAAAATCATTGCTTAAATGTTATAAAACTAGTGCTTACCCTTTCTAAAGAAGTAAAACATGTTGTGCCTTTAACAGTTGTGTGGAAGGAAACTGATATGTACATGTATCTGTTTACAATGATGGTTAACTGTATATTACATGTTTTATTGCATTATACAGGCCCTTTTTTAAATTTTGTTTACGTAGAATCGAATCTTCATGTGTGTGTTATTAACAGAAACCGTCATGTTAACACACTTTAGAAAATCGACCAAAATGCCATGGAAAAAATATATTCTTATTGTTAATAAATTTTTATAAAATAAATCATTAGATTTATATAGCTTGTAATGCATTGTTACGTTTATATCATCACGATTGTATTGTCCAATGGAATGGTACAGAATAAACAAACGATTCTGTAACCATGATTGGTTTTGATTAAACAAAGCACAATTCTTCACCTTACTGCACTAACAGGATAACACTATTATATGCAATAGGAATTAACCCGTTACTGCACTAACAGGATAACTACTATTATATGCATTAGGAATTAACCCGTTATTGCACTAAGGTGACGCATTAGAAAATTCATAACAACACAAAGAAAATTATTTTGTGCAAGAGCTTCCTATGGACTTGAAGAAACGGTAACAAAAAAGGTTAAGAGAGCACAACAAGTCAACAATATTAAAACAATATCCGTACATATGCAATGTTTCCCTTTAGTTATTGTTTAACATTGTTTAGGTTAAACCAAGTATCGATATTTTTCTCGTCCACTACTAGGGTCACACATGTCCTCAATATACATTATTTTTGAATGGTTTTTAATTAAAAAAACTTTTCAACTATTGTCACAACTTTTAAATTGCTTATCAAAACTATCTACTGGTTGAGACTTTATTTCAAATCATATTAGACAGCAGTTAAAAAGAAAAGAGAAAGTCTGAACGTGTAAAGTCTATTGTCTTTTTTCCCTTCTAACATGCACATGTGTTGCTGGTCAAGTTAATCATCACTTGTAAATGAGCTTTCATTTTCTACAGACCTTATTGGCATTATTTCTTTATTGTATGTAATTTAGTATAAAACTTCATGAAATACCGGATCAATTGATTTATTCAAATATGTGTGAATTGTTTCACTTAGAGGAAAGTTAGGAAGCCACTTGATAACAAGTTGAAATACTGTTGTGCTACGTACAACACAACTTTCGATATGAAATATGAAAAACAAGATCAACACAAAAGGGCGGCATTTAACGAACGCATCTCTAACAGACCTTTGACTTATAAGTAGGTTGATTTAATACAATGTATGTCAATACGTATTACTTAGTATATTTGTCCTTTCTTAAAAGTGATATACTACAAGTAATTGTTATACAACTTTAAAATATGTTTACTTGATTTACAGAAAATACATTAGATAAATTTCTACATTTTAGTAAGTGATAATGGTGGAAGTAAAGAAAAGAAAATAAATAATTACACGTTATTAGTTCCGAACCACAACAAATGGTATACAATCTCGAAAATTATATCAATTCCCGTCATGTCATGAATACGTCAGTGGAGTTTCCTTAAGACATTGAATCGCTTGATTTTTACGTATGTAAATTCAATGATGAGGTATAAGAGACTTGTTTAAGAAAGTTTTAAAAGCGTTTATTTTAATGCTCTATAAGAATTTAATATTTCTAATTCATTATTCAAATCACAAGTGCAAGCATTTTCTAATGGTCTGAAAATAATTAACAGGTGGACAATAAGACGGATTTATTAATTCAAAATTTGTCATATCAAAATCGCAAATATTCAAAGAAATTGTTC